ACATTTTTTGTGGACTTAAAGTCAGTGTTTTACTCGTGGTTGGCTGGTCATTTCGGTTCTGGCAATTTGCAGTTTGAGAAACCTAGCTTGAAAGTATTGTGGATGGTTTAATAGTTTCTGTAGAGATGCCACAGGTCGATGCTTAATTTTCCTTAAATTCACATTTTATACCTTTTACAATGTTAGCATCATATATTTTAAAAGTAAAACATATACATCAAGTGTCAACACATATTTAAAAGTTGCACTGTATCCGGGTACAGTATATCCAATGTGAATGCATTTTAATAAGTGGCAATGCGCCCTGATGTGGCCTACTCTATTTTTTTACTTGGTCTAACGCCAAATGATTTTACTCGTCAATTGGTTAATCAGAGTATATGCCCATGGACACTGTTAACCCATTAAGTGGCAATGCGGCATACTCTATTATTTTACTCTGTCTAGAACACCAGATTATTTTACTTTGTCTAACGCCAGACAATTTTACTCGTCAGGGGGAAAGTGCTGTCACTCAGTGTGTTAAAGTTATTCCAATGTCACTGAACATGCTATCTATCTCAATTTGTGACATTACCTTGTTAACTTTTATCTAAGTTGTGAATTTTTACATTCTGTAAAATAAATAGATTTAACCCATCGAGTCGCATTGCGCCCTGATCATGCGCCCTACTTTAAGCCAGACGATTTTACTGATCAAGAGAAGAGCACTGCCGCTTAGTGGGTTAACAAGAGGTTGAGCATGATATGAAGAATTACCTAGACTGAGGTCAATGTTATCTGCGACACCTGTAGCGGATAACATTGACAGAGGTCTAGATAATTGTTGATATCATGCAAAAGCTGAATTCAATTCAGTAATTGTTTTATTATACTCTGCCATGACATTATACTGGCAGGAAAACTAGTCAGTTGACACATTAAAAATTACATCACCTACAGACAAATTTCAATGCTGTATGTGCTATGTGGCAATAAAACATTGAGGATTATCTAGCTGTAGGTTTTTAGCCAATAACAATTGAGATTGCAACACCATTATTGCACAAAATACTATACAGATGTCCATCTCCATTGTTTTTTGCGTAAGCACTATTCGGCATGATTCGTCACTCAGCAAGTACAGTAAACAGAAGCAGTCACCCCCTGGAAATATTTAAAATGGCACACGTCCAGGGGGGTGACTGCTTCTGTTTACGGTACTTGCTAAGTGACGAATCATGACGAATCATGACGAACAGCGCTTACGCAAAAAACAATGGAGATGGACTTCTGTATAGTATTCTGAGCAATAATGGTGCCGCAATCTCAATTGTTATTGGCTAAAAACCTACAGCTAGACAAATTTCGCCTCCATAACAATTAGATATAAATTGGCCAATTCAGACAACGTGCAATTATCAGATTCTTTCTTTAGCTAGTAACGAACAAAGAATCTGTTATGACATGTGCTCTGAAATGGTCAATTTATAATTGTCATGTAAAAGAACGTTGTCTATTACTGTTACAATCTAAACTAGAGGGCACTCAGAGACTGCATACCTCCGCCTACGCGCAAAATATTGAAGTAATCTATTGTTATTAGAATTTGAATGGCTGGTGCATATATTATGCACGTCCTAATTACGCATTCAGTATAAAGTTTTATTTAATTGACGGGGAAAAGCAAGACAAACTTTTGTTATTTCTCATTCAATTTTTAACCAAATTCAACCAAATTTTAATCAGTTCTTCCGTAGCCGATGGGAAATGCACTCACAAAATTTCGTACGGATATGTTTGGTATTTCTTGAGTTATCGTGCTCACAGACAAACACACACACATACACACACACATACACACACACACACATACAAACCCAGATGATTACATAACCTCCTGGCGGAGGTAACAAACCCAGATGATTACATAACCTCCTGGCGGAGGTAATTACCTCCGCCAGGAGGTTATGTAATCATCTGGGTTTGTTACCTCCGCCAGGAGGTTATGTAATCATCTGGGTTTGTATGTGTGTGTGTGTGTGTGTGTGTGTGTGTATGTGTGTGTGTATGTGTGTGTGTGTGTATGTGTGTGTGTGTGTATGTGTGTGTGTTTGTCTGTGAGCACGATAACTCAAGAAATACCAAACATATCCGTACGAAATTTTTTGAATGCATTTCCCATCGGCTAGGGAAGAACTGATTAAAATTTGGTTGAATTTGGTTAAAAATTGAACGAGAAATGAACAAAATTTTGTCTTGCTTTTCCCGGTCAATTAACAAAAAATATTACTGAATGCGTAATTAGGACATGTATAATTTATGCACTCAGTGCTAAGACAATAATGAGATGATAAACCTCATTAAGCTTCGGCCTTCATTATCTATTGTCTTGGTTGCATTTCACGCGACCGAAATTCAATGTCTAAAACAAGGCTTACGGAGTTACGCATTATTACGTTCAGCAAAGTGCCAGTCCATTCAAATTCTAACAACATTAGATTACTTCAATACAGGGTGTATAAAAAGAACGCAACCTCGGAATTTCCCAAGAAATCGACATTGTTTTAAAGACAAAAGATTTTAGCTGCCTGGGAATTTAAAATAGCACAACTGTGAAAATTACTGCACGCGCGAGTGCATAAAGCAAAATTTATGCATTTATTTAATGACACTTAATAAGTTTTTATTTTACAAGTACTGTACAGTACAACAACAGTAATATGTTCTATTAGCAATTCGATTTCAATTCGCGGGGGCCTGAAATCTTTTGTGCTTAAGAATTATAAAGTGGATTTCATAGGAAATTCCAAGGTTGCGTTTCACTTCCGAGTAACGGGCGGAGGTATGCAGTCTCTAAGTGCCCTCTAGTCTTTATCATGTTTCGCTTCGCTTGGATAATTCTTCTTTCCGCCCACATGACAGATGCTCTCTCTCTCTGCGTTGTATATATATATATATATATATATATATATATATATATATATATATATATATATATATATATATATATATATATATATATAATCATATTTCACAACTGTAGCAGTGAGTTCAAAATGTAAACAAAGCGTTTGTTTACATTACGGACTT